CTTAACTTATAATAAAAGTTTAATACGCATACTTTAAATCTTATATAATAATTAATAAAGAGTATTAGGTCCTAAATAACCTATTTTAAAGTACTAAAAAAGCGCGCTATTAAACCTCTTATAAATACGTTAATATAAGTAACGGAATTTTTTATAACTAACTAGTAATATAATACTAACTAAGCTCTATAAAATATACTTAAAGTTTATAAAAAAAAAATAGGATTAGAAGAGCTTATATTTAAAAAAGACTAAATTATTTTTTTAAATAAGCTACTTTTTAATAGTACTCTTATAAAGCGTTCCTTATTATAAAATATAATCTAAACCGTAGTATTAAAGTGCGCTTCTATTTAGTAAAGTTTTTAAAACTATATTAATATAAAATCCCTTAATATAAGCGACGTTCTAAAGCTTTAAATCGTAAGTTCCCTTTCCCTTAAGTCTATTTAAAATACCCTTTATAATATAAATATTATATATAATAATAAGTAATATAATAGTTCCTAATTTAACGTAGTTATTATTACTTAATAATATATAACTCTCGGGTTTAAATAGGCTCTTATTATTAACTAAATATATTACTTTATAACTATTTATTACTATACTTTAAAAAAGGGGGTAAGCGCTATTTATAGGGGTACTAAAAATTACGTTTACTTCTAAGTCCTAACTTTTTATAAGTATAATAACTACGTAGCTCTCGTCTTAGTTTATTAATAAGCTTATTATAAGTTAATTAGAAGATCTTTTTAAAAACCTAAGTTTTTTAGGGGTACTATCGTTCCTTAACTAACTAGCTTTTTTAAGCTTATTATAAAGTAATTTTTATTTACTTAATTTAATAATAATAAAGACTTTTTTTATATAGCTCCTTAGTATTTATATTAATAACTTATTAGCGTTTTAGTTTATAAATACTTATTTTAATTTTTAATATACTATAGGGCGCTATAAATATATACGATTATAAGGGTATATAACGTTACCCTTATTATTTACGTTATTAATTAAGTTAGAGCGTTTAATAAAAATAGAATAAGCCCTTTTTTAACTTAAAAATCGTTTAATATATACGTCCTAAGTTATTAAGCTAAATATATATATAATCTCCTCGAGGGTCCTTATATACGTTTTAAAAGCTATTAATTTATTAAAAGTCTTATATATACGTTAGCCCTATATAGGGTTAAGTCTAAACTTAACCATAACTAAGAAGTTAAATATAATAATCTTTTTACTAATTTTTAAAATATTATACGTTTTAGCTTAGAAATAAGTAAATTATTATTCCTTATACTAGTATTAAGGATTAATTCTAATCCTCGCTTTATTAAGGGCTTATTAATATTCTTTTTAAACTATATTCCTTATTACTAGTTCGGGGGGTATAAATTCCTACTTTAAATATTTAATAATTCGCTATATATTAAACTTAGCGCCGTTTTTAATAACTTTTTAAAATACGTATTTATATAATATAGCGTTAACTAATTTTACTAATTACTAAGTAAGGACTTTAATATATATATTAATAATATTACGTTTATAAGCTATAAATTACTTATATTTAGTATTAAGCTCTTATTATTTTTAAATACTTTTAAATATATAGATCTTTTTTATAAATATAATATAAAAATAGATTTATTTATATAAAGTAGGTAGTATAACTAGCTTTATAAAAAAAAACCCGGCTTAGTCCTATAAATTACTCGTATTTAAAAAAGTTAAAAAGTTCGTATTAAGAGTTATATTTAAAAACTATTAATAGAGGATTTCTTAGTTTTTTTAGTTATTTTTAAACGCTTTATAACGGGCTTAGTAAGCTCGTAGTTTTTTTTTATTATAAGTTATAACTAATTATTTAAATTTAAAAAGTAAAATAAGTACTATAAAAAGGTTAAAAAATATATTAGAGTTTAGAACGTTTAGGTCGACGTATTTCTAAACCCCGACGCTCTTATTTATAATATAAAGTACGTTAAACTATTTAATTTAATTATTATAATTAGTTAATTTAGCTTAAGCTAAAGTAAGTATAAGTAAGTTAGTTATTTTAAAAAGATTATAAAAATTATATTAATAAGTACGTTATCGTAATATAGGGTCTTAACTAAGAACTAAGCTTATAACTATTACGAGTTATAATACGTAATAATAAGTATATAGAGTATAATAAAAGTAGCTTAACTATTAAAATAAAAATAAATAAAAGGAAAAGGTCTATATATACGATATTTAAAATAGATATGTAATTTAGTACGTAACGGGTACTTCGTAAGGTACGATTACTATCCCTATTACGTAACACCTAGTCACTTTAACAGAGACGCACCCGGCTTACTACAATAATACGAGACAAAAGATCTATAGAATTAGAACTGTTACATGCAGGCCGCAACGTTAAACCAGGGTTCTACGCTTTCGAGGTCAATACTCCCCGACTTTTAAGATTTGCCCCTGAAGCAAAAGCTAGTGCCTTCCCGCATAGGCTGAGCAAATCAACGACAACCAATAGGCCGTATTTGAGACTGTGGAACGTGATGCAAAGGACTCGGTGTCAACAGTTGACGTGTAGTCCGCAGCGGCCAGCCTCGCTGCTGCTCGTGGACGGCAGACCGGCACGGGGCGAAAGCATGCCGCAGCCCTGAGATGTTCTTGCACGATACGCATAGCTTGATTTAGGATTATGGGCATATGCTAGGCAATTCCAATTGATTAGAGCAAACCAATAGCAGTCATGAACGAGCCATTTTCCGCTTCTGCTCCTCAATGAACCAGGAGTATAAATGAAGGTTTCGTAAAACCCACGTAAGGCTAGGCTGGCGTTACCTGCAAAACTTGTCACATGGTCTAATGGTCTCCATTGACGAGGGCTTGCCGTTCCACCCGCAACTTACGAACCGGGCGACAACTTGACGTCAGCTGAGCCTTCTGAGAATGTTGTTGGTCGTGGTGGCTTGACAGAAGACAGCTCCCATTGGTGACCTGCCTGAATAAGAGTCGACTAGTGGGTTGATTGGGCTGACTATTAACTGCGACCCCAATGGCGAGCAGGGGATCATCGCTCGATCCGTCCGAGGCGTGACTAACATTACATGGCTGTGCCTCTCGCGTCCGCTGCGCCATGCCAACCAACACTAGCAGAAATACCCTTAAAACATACCAATTTTCGAATAACTACCTCAGACAATCCCCGCGATCGAAGAGTGGCCAGTGTCATCCGCCTCCAACAGAACAAGCCAGCTACCTTAATACTTAGACTCGGAACGAGACTTCGATTCTCATCTGAATACATCAAATACTGTCAGCAAACTCAATCATCCTAGAACGCCAGATTGTCCTACCATTATCACAACTTTACCCGACATGGGGTTGTTTGGAAAATCAACACCAGCCGAGGGCGCCGGCTCTGACGAGCCCAAAAAGTCTCTCTATCAACGCTACCAAGATAAGAAGAGCGGCCGCGATACCCAAATTTCAGACGAGGATCTCAAGAGGTACACCGGCAAGACTAAGGACGAGATCAACGACTGGGCTAAAGACCGTCCTGGCGTCGCAGGGAACCGGGCTGCAGGGACACTCACGGCGGGACCCGCTTCCGGCTTTGGAGGCGTGGCGACAGCAGGTGGCTTTGGTGGATGGGGAACAGATGCTGGGTCGGATCCAAAGCATCCGCCACCGCAGAAGGAGCGGAAGGAGATCGATGACTCCGAGTAGTTGCATTAAGGGAGGGTCGTGATAGTTGCGAGAACGAGAAGTTATTATTAGAAATGCCAAGCATCTTCAGTTCAAAGAAGAGATACGGGTTTACAACGAGAAGATTTGAAGGATCAGGGCGGTTGAAGACAAGCCTATCAACGGCCCGGGACGGCGGAAACATTCGTTCATCCGGAAAAGTTTTATGAGGTGTCTCATAATATGATGTAGCCAAATTCTAATTGTCCTGTGTGGTTACAATGAACAAGCTATTGGGATCCTGCATGAAAGCTTCATGTATCTGTCGCCTCGTGCAGAGTTGAGGCAGCCTTCATCTTTTGAATCATCAGAGACGCCTTCCCAGACTCAACTTCGGCAACATGCGGTCATCTCAGCAATGACACGAGGCAACCTGTTGAATACGCATGGATCTATGGTCGATCAGGTCCGCTTTCTTATTGATTTCTTGGGGAGCCCCAAATCTCAAAGCCAAACGTGAGGAGGCTTTTCATGCACAGCCTGCAGCCATCGGATATTTTATCCGCTTTCTTGGCAGGCACATATCACTTAACGCTTATCTAAACATCGTTAGGGATCTGTTGCTCACATAATCGGACCACTGCTCTCAATTTCCCAGCTGGTGTCTTCGAGAAAAGTGCTACGTGCCAGTCAACCCCAAATTAACTCAAGACTTGACTTAAATTAAGAGGAAAAACTTACATCTACTAGCCTAATGTATGACGTTGACTCGTAAACGAAGTTCAGTGTAGTGTAGAAACCTGGCAGTGAAACACAATGGATAGAAGGGCTGAACCGGACATTTGTCCGTCAAGTTGTCTTTCTGATCGTCAATTTACTTCACACTTTCGATCATTCTGACCCATGAGCGATTTGATATGCCGCGATATAATTTCGTTCCCGTAGACATAGCATCATGTTTATTCGATGACCAAGCCATCAGAAACGAGTAGATATTTGAGTCTGAGCAGCACCTAAGTCGATTATCTCGCTGGAAGATAAGTGATGTTTGGCCTTATGATTCATAGCACTAAGAGGCTAATATGATCTAATATGCAACAAAACAAAAACGGTCCAGAATGTTCTGGCGCATAAGTCACACCCTAGTGAATTGACTTGATTCAATTTTGTGGAATTGTATTCTTGTTGAACTTTTGATATAGTACTAGCTATCAGGTAGACGCGCGTGGAAGATTCTCCAACCGTCATCGGAGATGCAAAAGACATCGGAAGTGACAACCAATCACACATGGCTCCAGTCACTAATCTCTGCGTCTCTAAGGAAAGTCAGCTCGCATCTTGAGAATGCCGTCTATCATAGAACTGCCAGAAGCCCAGCCAGCGTAAGTCTCCGCAGAACTCGTGACACTGATGGAGAGGGCACCCCAGATCCATCGGTTTCCATTGCCATCGAGTTCCCAGTGAGGGCCACCGGACTGGCCTCCCATGGTATCTGTGTCAGTGTAAAAGGGGCCAGTTGAGTCGCAGTCAAAGGTTCTCTTGGAGTGAACCGTGATGTCGGTCTGTCGGTAGGGACGGTTACCACCGTCCTTGTCACCAGGGTAGCCCATGTGGAAGAACTGAGGCTTGTCAAACATGTTGCGATCAGGCACCTTCGCTCCGAAATAACCGAGTTGATCACCGAGGCGCTGGTCGAGAGCATAGACTACCCAGTCACCCTTGGTTTCACAAGGGGAGAAGGGTTCTTGGCCATAGGTGAAGAGACCGTTGGTGATTTGGGCAGAGCCAAAGCGGGCTCCATTGTCGAAGCCGGGGTAGAAAGATCCCGGGATAGGAGGATCGGGGTTGCAGTGCTTGGCAGAGAGGATGTGACGAGGGCCGATTAAGGCAGCGGAACAGAAGACTCCGTTAGACCACTGAAGCTTTCCGACGGAGTGGAAAGGGTAATTGGGGTCAGTCCAGAGGTGACGGTTATCTACGCCGACGATGAAGCGCTTGGTGACCTCCTCGAGGGCGGCACCAGAAGGTGTGAAAGGAGATGCCTCGGTAATATTGCCGGTGATTTCCGCGGCGTCAACGATAGCAATCTTGGGAACTGGAGCATCGGCTGGAACACGGCGAGCAGCAGCGGCGTCGAAGCCGATTGGGTGATTGATTTCTGCTTGCTCGGTTTGCCTAGTGTCTAGAGGAGCTGCTGGGCTAGCTTGGATGGCAGAGCAGAAGGTGAGGACGGCTGCAGCCGCAGACTTTGTGAAGTGAACCATGTTGGAATAAATTGATTTCGCAGGTGCAGACTCTGATTCCGACAAGTCGAAGCTGTTGATGGACTGGTGCTAGTCAAGACATGGCAGGTATCTGCTCTTTTATAGAGTTCTCATGAACCGTAGCAGCGAGCTTGGAGTTCTAGGCAAGCGATGACATGTTTCTTGTAAGGTGCACGAAAATGCTAGCTTCCGAACAGGGAATATTCGAAGGCTACAGCCAAGACGTAATCGGTAGCCCGTTGCGATATTCCAAGTCTACTGTGCCGCTTTCAAGCAATGCCAATGCTACAATCGAGCCTAGATTGAGCTCTGAATGAGGCTACGTCTTTCGAAGATCCATGAATGAAACGACTGGTTCTAGCGCATCTTATGCCAAGCTCGTTCAAAGTAATCTAACATCTGATTAGGCTGTCAAATATGGGACTTTGGATCAATAATGAGACCCTAAATGCTTTCCCAGCTGAGGATGATGATCCTTCGGGATTATCCGCTCACGGTATGCACCAATTCTTTCTTCAGGGTCCATGAAGCGGGGAAGGTGGTACAGTCAAACTAGGATTGACATCCAATGGCCTGCTTTATGCGGTGAGATTACGTTCTCGTTACTCGGCTCTCATTTCACGGAAAGGCGAGTTTCGCATGTTGATTTAGGACTGTGTCTCAATGAATCAACTACACAAAATAGAACCTACATTCATCACCAGTCTTGCGTTCATCATGAAGATGGCCCTTCCCTAATGAGCATCTTTCACTAAACTGCCACCCGAGACCAGAAATTATGTTACCGGGGCTTACTTGCGGATATGCTATCGAATCCTGTTCGGGTTCCATGGTAGGGCAAGTCTGACAAAGATTGGATATGCAAATCCGATTGGGTGCGGTTCACTTACATGATAATAATACATCTTGACAAGCATGAGATTCACATGGCACGATTCTACTTATCATAGAAGGCATGAGTGCAACTTTGATTCAAGGCTCCGGAAGGATCACGTAGAAATGAAAGTTCGGACGTCACCTGCCTTTTTGAGAAGCAGCGTTGTAACCGCTGATGGTTGTCTTCGCAGACCTCTACTAAGCTGACAATCATTCAACCTGGTTAACGAAACTGGCCCATGGAAAGTGAGAGCCAAGAGGCAGGGTAGCTCTCGAAATTCCTTTCGCCCCCTCTCTGAGTGGAATCTCTCGGTTGCCAGTACCTTGAAGTTGTTTGTGCTGACTGCATGTTAGATAAGTGAAATTCGTTCAAGTGAGCCAATTATCGCAGTAGTTAGTCAAGGGGCAAGCCTTCTAGTCACTTGCTGCCTCGAACTAAAGTCTTGGCCGAGTCCTTCAAGAACCAACATTCGATCCCAGCCTGTGTGTGATTTCGAAGGTCTGCGACTGCGACTGCAGTCTGCTTTACTGACTTGCGAAACTTGAGAGGCTTCACAACAATATGACTTATAATTGCTATATCTTATGCCCTATTCGATTCGTGCATTTAACGTCAGATTAAGGATGCGGGGGTTTAAAAGCGGTTTCTCAGTCTGTCTGCTAACACTTTACAGACTGGAGCTTTTACCTTTTCGTATTAAAAAACAGTAGCTTCAGCTCCTTTCTTATGACGGATTGCAGATGACTACATGTGAAGTTACTTTCCCTGTAACTCACGCTGAAGAAGCTGTCATCATGTTTCATGTCAAACTGCCGTAAAGTCGAATCTCAATCAAGTCAAATATGGACATTACTGCCCCGCACCAACTTCCACTTTACCCTGTCGCGCCACGATGGTAGTGAACTATTTCCAAAGCTTTCTTACGGTCTGAATCGTTTGACAAGACTGACTCAGTGCTCTCACTACTCTTCTGACGGTCACTTTTAATTTCATTGGCTTAGATGACTTCAACGCTAGTGGCCAACTGAAAATCGTCGTGCTCATTCTCCGTGAAGTATCACACACATTGGTAGCGTCACACGTTCAGCTTTCACTCATATCCGAGTAAAACAAAGCTGCATATGTATTCGCGGTTACGGCTTGATAGGAGGCCCCTGAGATGCTGCGATACATGCAACAGATGGCGGAAACCGGCGGGCGAAAGTTGGGGCCCAAGGCTTCAGATGTCGCCCCAAGCTCCGACCCCATTTTAGCCGACTTTTTGATCTTCAAAGGAGTTCTCTACTCGAATCTCATCAAAGCATCGAGGCATTGATTTTGTAAGTCGATGGTTTACAGTAACCCGTTTGAAGATGAAGATGCTATCTTGGGCTCTCGCTGCTATCTTTAGAGGCTTTGGGTCTTTGTCATCTTTCCAATGCTACAGTTATCCGAACATAGTTAAAGACAAATTGTAAATGGTATCAGGTGTTATCTATTTACGAACACGGAGCCTGGTCAAATACCAGCTAATCGACGCTTAGCTTCTAGTAGAGATTAGCCTGCTCACGCGTATGACACTTCGAGGAAACCGAGTATTTATAGAAATGGCTTCAGAGTTGCCTTCATCGCTCTTGATACAAAGGTGAGTTCCTTTTCTCCTCCTGGATTCATTAATGAGAGAGTGGTAACGCTGACACTTGATCGGCTTTTGGAATTGATGAGTAAGTCCAATAATGTAGCTTGTTCAAGGACATCAACTTGACAACTTTCAACAGCAATCTGAGACAAAGTCATGTAAGCCAATTAATTTACAGGGAAAGAAAGTAAATGTGGCGATTTCAAGCCACGTCGTTCATCTCAAAAGGAGCGATTCTTTATGAGTCCGAACGGCTTTTTCGGTCAGTGCGCGAAGTGTCAATCCATCGACTGATGTGCCTTTTCGCGGATGCCTGGCTAATGCAACCCGTCAGCGTGAGTGCGCCGTAAATAGGCAGAAAAGGATTCGGGTCACAGTAGGCATCCGTCTGACCTTGAGGCAGGATTACCTCGCTGCTGGACAGCCCAGTGCAAGAAAGTTCGGAGATTACAGAGGACGTTCCTTCTTACAGGTCCTATTGGGGTACAGGATGCGACAACTCATACCCACCCTTGACAGAGAGATTGGTAGATGGTAATACTGCGCCGCTGACGCGGCAGGGATAATAATACATAAAGCCTCATTTCCAGATCTGATTCACTTTCAGATTCATTAGGGACATCAAGAACAGACGCCGGCTCATTTTCCATGGCTTATGAGAATCTAGCGCATTATATGCCGTGAGTCCCTCGCAACGTAATTTGGAAGCGGATGAGGGTATGAGATGGATCACCTTGAGAGCCAGAACCTTGCCCTGCTTTGTCTCACCGCGGCACGGTGATGTGTGAGAGTCGGTGCATGATGCAATAAGACTTTTAACGATAGTAACTAGTCTCATCGGTTCCTCTAAATTTGCAAGACTTTCACTTGAGAAGAAAAGGGGGATTGTGATCAGCGGTGAGGTGCAGCTACGTTCGACAAGTGAGAGATGAGTGGGGTGATAAACGAGCGTGTGAGGTAAGATGACCGTAACGAATGCGGTAGCGATCTGAAACAGATAGTAGATTGCCTGCCTTGTAATGGCCAGAGAGTATGCCAGAAAACCACACATTCTGTGAGCGTTCAGTGCATCGAAGATTTGGAGGTACAGGGCTGGACTGGGCTGAAGGTCTGAACAACAAGGCCGTTCTCAATGAACTGATGCCAATAGATGGCAGCATGGCGAGGGTGCGCACGGGGCTTTCCACCCTAACGGATCAGAATAAGCAATGGCAGTAGCGCTGGAAATGTTCCATGTTCCTCAGAAATGGCCTCACAGTTTGCCCGGGAAGAGAGGTCTGGTCTCAGCTGCAAGGCACAGCAAGCTTTGTTCCTGCAGTCAGCTTAATCCCCTGTCGTTGCCAAGTGGTGATGGGCCGTTCCCCCCTTGGCAAGTTGGCAACAGGCCAGAGTCACTTGTCTAGATGAGAAGGCGGGTTCGGAGAAGCGTGAAGCAGTAAACGCGGGGGAGTGAGGCCGGCGCATTGTCAATTTGCGCTGTTTTCCTACGGCAGGTTTTTGCCGGAGCAACAGTGCAAAGTCCATGTGTTGTCGGTCCTGCCCCGACTTGCTCTTGGGAGCACACGTGCGTTGATCGCTGGTGGCTGGAAGAAGTTGGGTATGGCCCATGCCAACTGCACACGCTGAGCAGTGCGAATAGAGGATGGGAAGAGGAGACAATTGTCGATGCAGTTCCCTTTCCTCAGTGGTAAGGCTGATGAAACCAATCATATCCATGGCAATGCTACGCTGCTTTGTACGGGCTGAGAGCCTAGTGTCTTGCCCTTGCCTGGGAGGCACACAAGCTTCGGGACTGGTTCGGTGTCGGAAACGACCTAGCTGTGAGTGCGCTTTTCCGCGTTCCCTTACCGAACCCCAGTCCACAGGTCACAAGCTGTGTCAGTAGGATATCAATACGAGTACAGAGTACAGGTTGACCTATTCATAAGATGCTGTAACTGGCTCCACCTCAATCTGCCGTGGGACAAACCACTTGGAGGTATATGTTGTCAATTGAAACTTGAAGGTCACTTACTACCCAACTGTGCTCCCCACGCTGTAGAGAGCAACGAAATCTAAGAGACCGGGGGTGGGCCGGCGGCCAGGGCGGACTGCGGGGGCCAACTCCGGAGACCCTCACGGCTCACGGCACAGCAGGAGGATGAGGCACTGCAGAAATGGGAAATAGACCATATGCAGAGACGGTCACAGAAGAGGCCGAGGGGCCTTTGATCGAGCATGACAAAAACAATGCGCAAAAAAAGAAGCAATGGAAGAAGCCGCTAATCCATGGCTCGTCTCGACTCCAGCCGGAGCTAGTAGGAACGGAGCAACCAAGGGCAACAAACGAGACTGAGACCAGCCACGCCGTCGCCACCCTAAGCTCCTCTAAGCTTTTCCTGATCCAAGTGCGATGTCAATTAGAAAGTCGCTCAGTCTCCCTTGCCCCCCTTGGTGCTCGGGAGTTGCTCACATTGCACCCTTTCACAGCACATCGCAATGCGGTGTTCTCGGGGAACAGAGAGC